TAAAAGGGTGGGGACTATGACCTAGGGGTCTGATCTGACAGGCAAGACTATGAACTACAAAGGCAAGCTTCCTGATCCTTTTGAATATCTGGGAAAAAGAATTAGCCCTTCTTTGGAGCTTTTCTAATATCCATTACTATATTTAAGTGGTTTCTAGGTGCTTAATGTATTAAGACCCATTCCTATAGAAAACTTATTTCTGAGAAGTAGAAAAATAAAAGTCATATTCATAAGCTGATTCTAAGTTTGTCCTCAAGTGTTGATTCCTACACATCATGGCTGTAGAAACAAAAGAATAAAGTGTTATACCTCACAAAAAGATTTCTAGCCAGGCTTCACTTAATTCTTGATCGTGTAGGAACATTTTAATTTCAAACTATTAATAAACATTTGCTATATATCTGGTGACATTTAAAATAGCTAAGTAGGCCTTGGCTGGGTATCTCAGTTAGTTAGAGTGCAGTCCTGATATGCTAAGGTTGCAGGTTCGATCCCCGGTCAGGGCACATACAAGAATTAACCAATGAATGCATAAATAAGTAGAACGACAAAATCAATGTTTCCCCCTTTCTTTCTCTCTCTTTCTCTCTCTCAAAAGCAATCAATAAATTAAAAATAGCTAAGTACCTCTATGACTAATGGATCTCAACGAAGATCATCAATTGCTGCTAACATCACATTATGGGCCTACTACTGGAAATATATGCCTTATATACACATTCATTATGTTGCACACACACAAAATCCTTGTATCATCTGTTTAAGCCTCTACACTAGTGTTATTCTTACAAGAGCATAAGGAAAAGAAGAACATTTTGCTCTTAGAGGACATTTGACATTGTCTGGAGACATTTTTGGTTGTTGGAGCTAATGCTGGCTTCCAATGGACAGAAGCCAGAGATACTGTTAGACTTTCTACAATGCACAAGACAGCTCCCCACAATAAAGAATTTTCTGGCCCCACATGTCATTAGGACCAAGGTTGAGAACCATTGCTCCAGATCTAGTTACCAATTTCCAAAAAATACAAGGGACAGAGGAACAGGTTAAATGACACCAGGGGATACAATGAGCAGAACCCAGACTGTGGGAAACTCCAGCACAACTGACTTGATTTTATAAACAAATAAACTGCAAGGGGTGAAAAACAGAAATAGAAGGTAAACCTACAAATCTCAAGACAGCAACTAACCCCAACAGATAGATTTTTGTTTGGATTCTGATTTAAATAATCACACTATAAAAAATAATAACAAGATAATTGAGAAAGGTTTTAGACTGACTGGATATCTGATTATTTTAAAGAGCAGATGTTAACTTTTAGGTGAGGGATGGTGACATTGTGGCTATGTTTTAGTCCTTGTATTTTGGAGATAAATGCTGTGTCGCAGCAAAGGGGGAAAGAACAAAGAGCTACAGGGAGACAAAATCAGCTATGAGTTGATAATTAACACAGTAATGAGGGGTACAAAAAGGTTCATTATACAATTCTGCTTTTGAATGTTTAAAATCTTTCATAAGCTTTAAACAACAATTTTTTAAATAATAAACTAGCTAAGTAACCTTCAGGCAAACATAGTTTGTAAACTCCCGTTACTGAAGAGAAATATTCTGAGAGCACAGGCACAGGGTTTAGACTAATGTTAAAATCCCACCTCCTCTCCCCTCGCTTCTTGACAGTCTTTGCAATCTCTGCAAAGTGGAGATGGTCACACCTACCTTGTAGAACTGGTCTAAAAATTGTGTAAGATAGTGATCGGCGCTTGGTGGATGGCAGTTCCCTTTCCCACTTCACACAAGAGCTCCCAACAAAGAGGGGAAACACAGTGAGAGAATCCTGCCCCTATCTGGCAGCTTCTAAAGACCTTGGTCCAGGCCATTATTTCCTTCCTGTGCGAATCTGACTGTGGCCAGGAGATCAAAGTACTAACTGGGAAGTAAGAAGATTCTTTTCTTAATTTCCTCTGATTTGTTAGATTTTTTTTTTCCATACTCTTCTATAACTAACACATACAGATAAATAAAATAAGTAGCGAGAAATAGGAAAGAGGGCCTCACTGTAAAACCCCCACACATGTGTGATATTCATTTTAGGGCCACGAACCCTGGCGGGTTCATGACTTGTATAATTCCAGAAACAATGAGCTATAAATCTGGTTCTCTTTCCTTAACAAATCCTCCTTTCACCAGTTACTTGTACTTAAAAAAAAAAAAATACAAACAAAAACTTGATTAAAAACTCCTGCCCAGATATTTTAGAAAACTCGCTTCCTTTCCTTCATTCCTTTCTGCTTGCATGCTTGTACCCTGCCAGCTTTTTGCCGGAAGGTTCATTGGCAAAGCCATCAGGCAGTTGTACTGGTGACTTTAGACTTGGCTGTAGGTGGTTCACATGGAATAAGTCCAAACGGTCTGTTTCGACTGCCTTTTATTTTCCCTGAAGTAGCATTTCCTTCAGGCCCGTTGCATTTGCAATAAAGCATCATTTTTGTCCACTTATAAATAAGGAATAAAGACACGGCCCAGGTTGGTGGCACAGGCCTCTGGTTCGCGCTTAAACTTGCACAAGGCAGAACTTTCTCCTTCTGTAGATAAGGTCCTTCGCGAGGAATAATAGCCAGACTTGGAACCAGAAGGCAGGTTGAGCACTAGCTCTGCCGCACAGCATGCAACCTTGAACAGAATACGCCACACTTAGCAGTTTTAGTTTCTCTGCTCACAAGAGAGTATGATAATAGCTGCCCTGTTGTCTTCATTGAGAAGCCTAATAATAATAACTGCAACTATATAATGTTTTGAAGTTTACGAAGTACTGCAAAATATAATACAGTCATGTGCCGTGTAATGATGTTTTGGTCAACAATGGACCGCATGTAAGACAGTGGTCTCACAACATTATAATGAAGCTGAAAAATTCCTATGGCCTGGTGACATCACAGCCAACCTAAAGTTACAGTGCAACGAATTACTCACGTGTTTGTGGTGATGCTGGTGTAAAAAACCTACTACACTGCCAGTCATATAAAAGTACAGTATATACAGTTATGAACAGTACATAATACTTGATAATGATAATAAATGACTGTTACTGGTTTATATATTTACTATACTATACTTTTTATCATTAGAGTTCACTCTTTGTACTTAAAAAAAAAATTTGCTGTAAAACAGTATGTCGTGTTATACCAGCAACCGCCTCACACATGTCGTGTCTCTTGATTGCATCATTTTCTCTTGCACTTGATTTAATCTTGTGCTGTTTGTGCAGCAACATGCTGTGCAGGCTTGTAGCCAACAGCAATAGGCTATACCACACAGCCTACATGTGCAGTAAGTTATCTCTCTAAATTGGTGTCAGTACATTCTATGATATTCTCACAATGAAATTGCCCAACAACACATTTCTCAGAACGTATTCATTAAGTGGCCCATGTTGTATATGATTTACCACTATTATTAATCAAAATATTTTCTTCACTTGCCTCAATAAAGGACCTATTGTTTGCTTAACAAAAAGTCCTTGACTCAAGGACTTGCTCTTTTGTGATATCCAGACACACCCTATCATCTCTAAAATTTCCAGTGCAGAGTCTAAATTCTCTGCAAAAGGCCTGAAGTGAAGCGAGACCCAAACAAGGGGTAACATAATCTCTTTCAAAAGAAAACATTTAATTAGAAATTATACCCCAACAGAACTGTACCAGGAACTCAGCTAGGAAATGGAAATACAAAGACAATTAGCACAGTCTCCTCTCACACAAAAATAACGTACAAGGAAGAAAGCATTGGAGGGAAAGTGCTGTTTTTTTAAAATATAGCGAGATATGATGTGTGGATGCAGCATGAATCTGGGCCTGTTTGGCCCCAGGCCACTCCTTTACACATATATAAGTATTTTTTCCATCAAAATTCTCAAGCAATGGAAGAGATGTCCCATGAGAATAGCCTAAGTTTAAATCTTTAGATGGAGACATGATAACTAAGAAGTCTACAGTCAAGGTTTCTAATGTACACAAAATCTGTCTACTGATTATTGGAATATTGACTATTAAAATAACTCTTTGAAGTTTGAAACATAAATTTAAGAGCAAAAGAAAGAAAGTACCTACCTAAGTAAGAAAAACATGGAAGCACGGAGTAAACTTCTAAATTGCAATGTACCAGGAGAAATGTATAAAAAGTGTCAGGAGAAAATGTACAAAAAGAAAAGAAAGTCCTGGGTAAACCCATAAATGACAGACTTATCATTTATGAGAGGGCTTCTAAGAGAAACTGGCTTCTAGGAGAAACTGGTATGTCTGAGACTAAAGACTGAGTTTGATGAACCATAGGACTGACATAGTAGAATAATTCCTATATTCTTGTAGTCTAACAATTCTATATAAACCTCAAGAGAGACAGATTACTCTTTACTTATTTGTAAGTAGTACATTTTGCACCATGATTGTACTCTTTTATTTTGGTTATGATAACATTTAAACATTATACACAGAATACTATGATTTGTACACCTGATCTTATGGTGATCAGTTATGAACTGACATAGTACGCTGCCACTATAAGGAAAGCCAAATGTAACATTTTCCAAAAGCAATCTGGAAGAAAAAAAAATTGAGTCCATAAGAGCACAAAACAAATGACTAATGAGACATTTGACCTAGACATTTACCATAGTAATGTAATAAAAGCTAACAGTGACCAAACTGGACTTTGTACTCAATGACCTTTCAGGATTCTGTGTTAATGTTTAAAGGTTCTTAATTCAAAAACTACAGAAAATTGATGTGCTAAGTAAGGCAGGACACACTCAGAATATCTTTTTAAAAATAGACGCCTATCAGAACATCACCTCTAATCCACAAAAGAATCTGCCACGAGATTTCAATAACAAGAGGCATATTGTAGGCATTTCTGTCCATCAACAAATCTAAAAAATTTATTAAAATGCCAAAGGGACAAATGTGAAACCAAATACAGTGCAAAGACTGAAAGGGACTCACGGCAGTCTTTCTCGTCAGTTCCATCTGAGCAGTCTCTGACGTGGTCGCACCTGTATTCGACTGGGATACATTCACCACTGGAGCATGTCATCTGATGGCTTGAGCATGTTGTCCCAGCTGTGAAGGGGGGAAAAATATTACTTTATAATTACTGCCAAACACAGACCAACCCACTGACACTTAGCAATATGAGTGAGGATATTTGAAAGCAAAGGCAAGTAGAGGGTGCATTGAACAGAAAATGTATAGGGTCACATTTGTATGTAATGCACCCAGCTACCCCAAGGAAGAGAGCTTACAATGAAAGCAAAGGTATTATTATCAGGATACTATCAAAATGCCCATAGAATCATATCGACTCTCAAACATGTTATTGTAGACAATTATTCTATCAACGTGTTGAGAACACAATATAGAATTGAAAATCTATGTGATAAAGAGAATAAATAAAATAAGAATTTTGCAATTACAGGTATTAATCAAAGATCAGTAAGGTCTTCCTCATTGAAATCCTGTTTAAACCAGAAGGAAATATGCCAAAGGGCTAACAGGGGTTATTTCGGAATGGTAGGAATATGGGTGACGTTATGGAGTTTTCTCTATTATATAAATTTTCTACATTGAACATGTGTTAGTTTTATAAACAAAAGAAAAAAAATTTAAGCTAGTTTCATTTTATCCTATGTTGATTAGGGTAGGTGAGAGCAGGATTCATTTTATCAAATTTGCCTTCAGATAAAACCAAGTAAATTGATGCCTCAAGTATCATGTGCAAGCTATTCTGTAAGTCTCATGAATTAGCATGAGATTTCCTACCGTTCCATCCTATGCCTGGTACTTTTCCTTCCTTTCTTTAGTACTTCTGAACTACCACCCCCATCTCCCTGTTTCTGGTCCCCTTTTGCCCCTCCATCTCAAATCCTGACACATAACTGCACCTGATCTGGATATGCCTCCGTTTAGCCTTGATTAGCTCCTGTCATGCCTTCCTCAGGACTGCCATTTGTCACCACCAACAACCTTCACAGCCTCACATAGTTCGCTGGTTTCCCCTTAACCACTCTGTCCCATGGATCAGCATTCCTTTGTGGCTGGCAGACACCATTACCAACACTGACGAGCCCTAAGAGGCTGTTTAATTATACAGTCTTCCTTTTAGATTTAAACCAAAGTTGAACTCTTGGGTATTTTGAGAATTTCCATTCTCTCCCTCAAAAGACCCCTGGCATGTAGTGGCCTGACTGAAAAGAGTTTACACTCAGTTCTGGACTCAAAAGTCCTGGGCTAACTTCCAATCTATTAAACTCATCCTGGACCTACTGAAGGCCGTGGAATCTCCACTGCTAGTCATCTAACGACTAAACAAGTTCCCACGTGAAGTAGCCATCAAAACCATCTGTTTCTTCTTTGATACTTGAGGACAACGACTGTGAAAATGTCAATAGGATCTTAGCTGACATATTAAAACTGGCACAGAGAGATGATAGATGTTCATGATTTGTGAGATGTGCATTAATGAAGCAGCACATAGTGGGGCTGAAAGGTGAATGCCACACAGAGATCAGAAATGGACTCTTCCAGAGGACAGTTGGGGTCAAGAGCCTGAGGTGGGGGAAAATGTTAAGGTTTTCTCTTCAAGGTGTTGAAAGTTGAATTGGGGCTTGCCACTTTCATGGAATCACAGAAAACCTATAGGCTAAAGACGACAAGACCAAAAAGGGGGGAGAAACTTGGATAATGTTTTTGAGCTGAGAATTAATCAACCCTGGAACAACCCAACATTTAGGCTTTTTATTATGTGAGATAGTACTTTCTATTTTTGCTTAACTTTTTTGAGCTATGTTTCTCACTTTGCAGCCAAAAACGTCCTCATTGATATAAGAGTGATTTTAAACTGTACAAATATCCTTAAGAAAGCAAAAAATGATACACACGATAGACATATTTCTCACATGTTGTCATCTCACCCAAAATGATTCTCAAGTTTCATTAAAACTAACCCATGGACACAGACAATAGTGTGGTGAAGGCCTGGGGCAGGGGTGAGTGCAGGGTAGAAGGGGTCAATGGGGGGAAACGGGGACATCTGTAATACTTTCAACAATAAAGATAAATTTTTTTTTAAAAAACTCCCTTTTCCAGTTTGACCCCCCAAATTAGAATTTAACAAGTCCTTCCAGGTTACTGCCCTGAACCCTTTCAATGTCCAGAAATGCAGCAGTTGCTAATAATTACTATTATTTTCTTTGTCACTGTAGCTCAGCCTATGGTAGCTTTGGCAGCAGTCACTGTAACAACCACTAATAATGCCGCCAACAGACCCACCTATTTGTTCCACTCAATTGAAATTGAGAGAGTTCAGTACTAGGGCAGAGGAGGGGGAAGGTTTGAAAGCAGAATGTGCTGCAGGATCAAAAGGACCCATCCAAATGCCAACCACACAAATGAATAACTCACCTATAGATACCCATAAATGTTTCGTTTCTTTCTTGAGTGTAACATAATCCAAATTAAAGACTGGGAACCTGTGTAGCCATCTCCAAATCACAGGGGTATATTGATAATTTTTCAGCACATTCACACTTTCCATATCATCCAACCTGAGCGAGAATGCTGGCATAGGTTCCATTGGTGTGTAAGGTTCAACTCAGCATTTACAAAGAATCATCCCATTGGGTTTTGTATTTGTAACAAGTTTTAGGGGTCCCAAGGACCAAAACAAGATTCCTCTACAAACACTTACGGCAATGCTGATGTTCATCTGAGCCATCCTCACAGTCCTGCTCATGGTCACACACCCAGGAGTTAGGGATGCATTGCTCTTTATTGTGACACTGGAAATAGCCCGGCCGGCAAGAAGCGGGAGCTAAAACAAACCAGAAAAATGACTCATTCTGTCAAACAACCACCCTATTATACCAACAAGCAATGCCCATTTCAAGAGAATGTATGTAAATTCCTGCTCAACATATTTGATGGCAAATAGTAAACAACCTCATACTAGAGTGTGTGGACTCCAACCAGAGCTCACTGCCAAATAATCTCAGCAATAGCATCACAGCAAACCGATGAGCCAAAGCAATATAAAAATACAGGAAATAAAACAAACAGCCAAACACACACACGCAAAGGTATGACAAAAAAAATATTAAACTAAAATTTTAACTTAAGTAAAAGTTAACCATGAGTTATTATCAAATTTTTTGAAATATTTTTTTATAATAACTATTAGTAACACATCATGATGAATTGGAAAACCTATGAGATCTGGAAAAAAAGAGACAGAGTTAAATAATTATTGAGGTTCTCTGAGCCTCAATGTATGCACCTAAAATGGAGGCTATAGTTATCTCATGGTTTGCTACTAAAAAATAAGTTAAATATGTGAAAGTTAAGTATGTGAAAGTGCCATGCAATGTTAGTTGCTATCACTATTGTTATGGTATTGTTATTATCATTGTTATAGACACTAAAATATAATAACAACCTCCGAAGAGTTGTTGGTATAGCTGTTCATTTATCCCTTTATCCCAGAATACACTGCTTTTGTCTTTTTGCTCTTAGGGTTTAATGTAAAATGAACTCAGTAAACCCAGAGGAGGCAAACAGATATCACATGATCATGTCTCTACAAACAGAACTACTCCCTAGCTCAAAGTGTGGTTCACACATGAGCAGTGTCAGCATAACCTGGGAGTTTTTAGATATACGGAATCTCAGATCCCACCTTAAACATATGGAATCCAAATCTGTACTTTAACAAGTTCCCCGGGTGATCCATTTGTGCATTAAAGTTTGAGAAGCACTGTATAGGATCTACTCCCCACCCTTCCTCTCATTTTCAAATGCATTGTCATCCAAACATTACGCCAAAGTTTGACTATTCTGTTGTGCCATAGTATACCCAACAAGTCAAATCAAAATTATTTTTCACCTGCTTTCCTGGTTTTTGGATGATAAACTTTGGCTGTTCACTTATCAGAATAAATGAAATTGCAGGAGTGTGATTGATCACCTATGGCAAGCTGGGAAAGCAATGGATGTAAGGGTTGCATTGGTGCATCAACTGGGGGGTCTTTAATAAATGACTTAACGTCTGTCAGTCTCAGTTTCCTAATCTGAAACCTACGTCAGAATATTGTTGTGAGAACTATAATGAAGAAATAGATGTGAAAGTGGTTTTATAATTAGTTAATTTTGGGTTTTACAATATTATCATGTTTTTAAATAAAAATTTTTAAAACATAATCACACTAACAGTCCTGTGACCTCTTTATGGTCATTCCCACAAGTTACACTACATCCTTTATATTAAAACAGACTTCTAGAGCTACAAATGACAGTTCAGATAGCATTGTTTTGTGCCTGTTCTTATTGGTGCACAAAATTTCCAGAGTGCATAACCTGAAATAGTCACTTAGTGGCTTCAGAAAACCACTCCCAAGTTTGTTTCCATATCAAGGTCACGTGATAAAAGAGTAAACTAGAAGCTGATGTGAATTGAATCCTTTCCCCAAAGGGGAGTGAAACTATTATTAATACCATCAGTTCTCTATTCACAGGTCTCAGTAGACTTGCACCAGGTCCTGAATCTATCACTAAAGACACAACCCTTTTGTTACAGCTGAAATCACCGTGAAGCACACGTGTGGCTCAAAGCAGAGCTGAGCCTGGTCACCCCCACTTACGGCAGCCAATCTCATCAGAGTCATCGAAACAGTCCTTGGTCCCGTCGCACCTCCAGGAGGCAGGAATGCAGCGGCCGTCCGCACAGCGAAAACTCTCGCCGTCACAGTCTGCAATCCCACAAACGACAGGAAACCAGTTTAAAAACCAAATATGCCACGCAGGTATTTCACAGAAGAAATATAGATTTTTAATAACAATGAAAAAATTGTCACTGATTAGTAATCAAAGGAATACATGCTATCTTATAAAATTAGGAAAATGTTTTTAGAATGATTATATTCTGTTTCGGTGTCTGCAGGAAGGTGGTTTTTATACACAGCTGATGACTAGAGTGTATCTTGATGTAACCAATCTGAAAAGCAATTTGACAACATGTATCTTGCTTTTTTAAAGTGCTTATTCTGTAACTTAGAACTTTTACTTCTAGGTAGCTTTTCTAAGGAACTAGAGAATTTTATCTCTTTATTATTTATAATAAAGGAAATTGAAAACCTCCAATTAGATGTCCAATGATAGGAAAATAATTAAGTTTTCTTATATCTACATATTGATATATTAGGAATTCATTTAAATGGTTATGAAAGACTATTAAATGACTAGGAGAAATATTTATAATATAATTTAACAAAGAAAAGGAGGCAAAATTTTGCCTATAACAGAGTCACATATGGAGTGAGGGAGGAAGCATAAAACAGGACCAGTGTTAGCAGTAGTTATCTCTGATTGATAACATCATGAGTAACTTTTCATTTGCTTGGCTGTGCTTATTTCAGTTCCCACCCTATATTTTTCTTAAAGTGCCCTACTACTATATCACATAGAGCAATTTATGGTCCCTCATTTTTAGATTCAGATCAATCTTGTAGCTTTTTGCTTTTTAATGAATTTGTAGATTCCAGGTCTGTAAGCTCATCTCTACAAACAAATTTTTTTTTTTTTTAAACCAAAAGAGCAAAAATTTTCCTGCAGCCAACCAGAGTGCACAAACTTGCCACAATCATTGCCACATTTCCAAGTGGCAGTGATTATTCCATGGTGATACCAGAGAGTATAACTTAAATTCATTTCATTTAACCAATATATCCTGCAATTTTCCTGGGTCTCCCCAGGGGACTAATTTGGCAGTTGGAAATCCTCTGAGTTTCCCCAAATATCTGACCAGTAATCTCTTCATGCATTGTGTGCCAAGTAGAAATTTTTTTAAAGAGAGCTGCCAACACCAGGCCAGCTTGGAGAAGACTCAAAATTATTCTTTTACAAACCCAAGGTGGGAGAGAAGTAATTTGGGGTTTGGAAGAATAACTGTATTTTCCCCATGTACTTAAGCAATCATGCTAAATTACCCATTTCAATTTTTGGCTAGTTAACCCCAAATTAGATAAATACACAGATCAATTACCTACTCTTAAAATAAATAAACAATGTGCTATCCTGACTTGTCTAAATGCAGGCATATCAACAGCATGACATAAACATAGTTAAGTGATCTATTCCTAGGGGATATAGGCTACTTTGTTCATGGAATGTTCAAATCTGATTGTCTGTTAGTGACATCCTGATTTATAATGTATGCTGCAAATGGTCAGAAACTTCCCTTGGCTAACTGGTGGTACCGAGTGGTACAGGAATACGTACACCCGAATACCTTCTATAGACTAATGCGTGATGGTGGTTGGTGGTGCAGGTCTGGGGTTGGTGGTGCAGGTCTCTTATCAACTACCTTTAAAACACAACAACCTCCCTTGCAAAAATGCCCCTAAGGAATGTACAAATTCACTCTGGAATCCCAGAACTTCTCACTGGATTTTATTCTACAAAGCAATATTTCCATGGGAGATTAGGGGCTTTGGAGGTTTAGCTATTAACACAACATATATTAAATCACTTTTATCAATTAGGTCTATTGTTAGTAATCCAACATATTACATTTGAAAGTTCAGTACATTTGTCTACCGCAGTCTCTAATAACTTCTGGTTGAAAAATTGTAACAACCTAAAGGTCAGTCCACTTACAAAGAACTTAATATTGATATGAGAAAAGGAGAAGCATAAACTTAGAAACTAAGTATACAGAAGAAAATTCAGAGCAATATATTGCCTGTCTTGAAAACATATATTTAGAGCTATTTCTTCTTTTTCCCCAAACAAATTCAAGTCTATTTTTAGAAATGTTAAGTATGCTTGAATAATCAGATAGCTTCTGCTATGTGAAAAAGCATCCCAAGGATTTAATGCCTTAAAACAGCAAACACTGCTTTAGCTCCTGATTCTGCTACTTAGCAGTGGTATTTCTTAAGCAACTTTTATTGCAAGTCAAATTTTGAGGTTTGCTAATTTTGCTAAAATACAAAATTAAACACATCATGGAAAAAAACACAAAAATAGACACACAAAACTTATTTTTTTAAAGCACTTCAAAGCCAGTTATTTAAAATCAATTACACAAAATGTATATTTTATGTAACAGGCAATATTTGCAATTAAATAACTCTTTATAATTAGTGGCTTTTACACTTCATCTCCAAATAGTTATCTAAAGTAATATATCAAACCAAATTCACTCAATTTATCAAAATATCCATGATAACTCATTTGTCAAATTCACTTTTTTCAATATTAACTTCCATGACTGTTATAACTCCCAAATGACTATTGTTTAGAAATATCTATCCAGAAAAATCAAACTAATACTCTATCATTGCTGGGTGGCCTCTTAGCAATCAACCAAAATGCCCCACTAGTGTCAGAAGCCTCTCATTCATTCTATTATAAAGGGAATATGTGCTGTTTAAAAAACAAACAGATGGAAACACAGAAAACAGTATGGTGATTACCAAAGGGAAAGGAGGATGGGGGAGGTAGAAGAGAGTAAAGGGGGAATAAATGGTGACAGAAGGAGGCTTAACTTTGGATGGTGAACACACAATACAATATACAGATAATGTGTTATAGAATTGTATACCTGAAACCTATGATTTTATTAACAAATGTCTCCCCAATAAATTCAATAATTTTTTTTTTAAACTGCTAGTGAATAGATCTAGATCTGGTCTGATAACAATTGCAGGTAGTTCTGATTTTAGATATGCACTTTATTTCCTGAGTGTTTTATTTTAAACTTTTTTAAAAATATATCTTTATTGATTTCAGAGAGAGGAAAAGAGAGGGAGAGAGAGAGAGAGAAACATCAATGATGAGAAAGTCATTGATCGGCTGCCTCCTGCAGGCCCCCCACTGGAGATCGAGCCCGCAACCTGGGAATCGAACCCCGATCACCTGGATCCTAGGTCGATGCTCAACTGCTGAGCCACGCCCAGCCAGGCCTGAGTGTTTTATTTTAAATAAGTAGCCTTTACTTACAACCCTTTGAAAAGTTACTAGACATTATCTATGCTTTATTGTTCAATAACTTGAAGNAGTGTTTTATTTTGAATAAGTAGCCTTTACTTACAACCCCTTGAAAAGTTACTAGACATTATCTATGCTTTATTGTTCAATAACTTGAAGTCTAAAAAACAATAGAAGTAGGGGTGGATTTCATACACTAGAGCCAAACATAGAGTTTATGGGAGAGAAAAAACCTAAATAGAGCAAAATTTATTCAACAAGTGGTCTCTAAACATCCATATTCAACCAATCCAGTTTTAACCAAAAAATAGTTTTACAAACAATAACCTTTAATATATGTTTCCTTTAATAAAAACCAAGGAAGAAAACATAATGCATGCTGAAATAAAAAATTTTTAAAAAACTTTTAGAACTAGGCAGCTATTGACTGGAACCATTAGAACCATATGGACAACCCTACCACCCCAGCACTAGCTTTCTCAGGAATAAAAACAGATGGTGCACACATGAGGAAAAAATGCACATGTGGTACTTAAATGGCATGCACTGTTCTAAGCCCTTTGCCAACTCTAAGTCATTTAATCCTCATAGCATCCCTATGAGACAGATATCATTATTATGAGCACTTTACAAATAAAGAAATTGAGGCATAGAGCAGTTCAGTAACTTGCCCAAGATCAAATAGAAAATATGTGCAAAGCAAAGATTTGGACCTGACAGTTCTGGTTCCAGCATCTGTGCTAGATTGACCACCACTCTATGTTCCCTTTCTCACACACACACACACACACACACACACACACACACACACACACCTATCAAACTCAAGAATAAATGAAAAACTTATTAAACTGATGAACAGAATAGATTCAATGACATGGAAGCATAGATCAGACTCACAAATGTCAGAGGGATGGAGGAGAGCAGGTGGGTGGAGGGGGAGAGAGTAACCAAAGAATTTATATGCATATATGCACAAACCCAAGGACACGGACAATGGGGGAGAGGGACTGGGGCAGGGGGGTAGGACAGGGCGGAAAGGGTCATTGGGGAGAAAAAGGGACATCTGTAATATTTTAAACAAAACTAAAANTAAACAAAACTAAAAAAAATAAATAAATAAATGTAAAAATTTGACTTTTTTCCAAAGTTGCTATCAACATTAATTGAATTCATTAATTGGGCTGGTGTGGAATCCATACTTTATGCTCATATAATTCAATTGGATACTAATAGTCTACTTGACAGCAAACATTGCATGTAAAAATTCATGGGCTTAGGAGAATTTGCAACAATCAAAAGCAATGCAGGAAAATACNAAAGTTGCTATCAGCATTAATTGAATTCATTAACTGGGCTGGTGTGGAATCCATACCTTATGCTCATATAATTCAATTGGATACTAATAGTCTACTGGGCAGCAAACATTGCATGTAAAAACTCATGGGCTTAGGAGAATTTGCAACAATCAAAAGCAATGCAGGAAAATACAAAATTTTAAATAAAACGAGTTTTACTCTCTTCAAAAAAATATAGTAGATGTAAGGATAAACTTATTTTCTGAAACTTGTAGAACCCCAAGCTGGAGGGGGAAAAAACAAAAGTAATCCTTTCTACATAAATAGCCATCTCACAGACTTTCTGGTCTAAGCGGTGGACTAAGAATGTGTTAAGATAAGATATTAGAGTAGCTGGTAGCGCCTAGAAGAGGCAATAAGTCTTTGTTTTTTCAGGATGGAGAACAGCACTGGACTGAAGA